CGGTTTCCATACAGCTGTGTCGGTTCTGGGCCTGATTCATGTCTGGTAACGTACACCATGATCGGTCGCCTGACATGTAGAACTAAACAGGACATCACATAGTTCATTATCCCAAGCTACATGGGACAGAATATTCTTACAGTGATCAGTATTCATGCATTTGTGGTTCTCAGAGCAGGAACTATGAAGAATTATTTCCTGTGTAGTTAAGTGATAGTCAGCCGACGGTTCGGAAGAATATATCGCATCCAGTTTCATGGTCTAATAATAGTGTCTATATTGGACTGGTGAATAGATTTATTGACCGACCATCATATACAATCAGTACAGCGCTATCTCTGATTTACAGAATTTACAGTTTACCGTTACACACACACACACACACTAGGATTCTCAGTCTTCACTAGTCCTATTCTGGTAACGAAATTAAAACAGTCTCATTGACTAAACCTTCTAATCACACACTAAGTCTTCACAGGCTGACTTCTAATTCTTCAACTACTAACTTCCCGTGGCTGTATCCTACCTACAACTGACTCAATTCTATTGTACTCCGTTGTACACCGTTATATTCCCATTCTCTGAACATTTCTGAACATCCCATTCCAATTCTGTAATCTTCCTAGCTACAATCAGACTCGTTATATAGCCACCGCACTGACCACGCAGTACAGAAAACACAGCTCCTTTGTTGTTATAAAGGCATGTTACCACGCAGTTGCCTAGCAGTCTCGGCGCGGAAAACATAGAAAACATCCTATAATGTCGAAACCTGTTTACCTAGCCGTTGCCAAGCAACGGACATATGCGTCACAATACGACAAGAAACGAACACGAAGTAGGCAGGATACAGACATAATTTTTGTGGGTTGCAGCGCCGCGTGATTCAGGGAAATCTTCATACATTGCCGACTTATCGACCTTCAGGATGGAATCTGTATGTGCCTGAAATACGTTCGGTCGGCTTTCACGGGAACTACACGACGTTATATCGCTCCACACAACTTAATTCCAAAATGGCGGAGGCGGAAAAAGGTTAACGAAACTGTGCATTTTGTGTATGACTTCCCAGCTGATGCTGTTGAGACTGGTACAGCGCGTGTACCATGTGGTGATGCAGCCGAAGTTAGCGTTCATTGCAAACTTTCGAGACAAAACAAAAACAACAGAAAAACGTAAATAACAGGAGTAGAAGAGTTCTTGCCGCTAATTTCCGTGCTTCCTCTTCCTGCCTCTGAACCAAGTTCTCATCTCTTTTTTAGACCTTAAGGCGTAATGGTACTATACAAAAAAGTAGATAATTTTATCCATAATTTCCTTCGTTCCTTGTTTGTTAAAATGTACCCTTTGAAGGAACAAGGAACATAGAATATTGTAGCTCATGTTATGTGTAACATCAAAATTTCCATTACATTGGGGGGATGGGGGAACTTTCCCTTCTCCCATAAACTTATTATCCTTACTGCACATAAGGAGGCGGATTGGGGAATTGAAATATACTGTAGGCTTGTACACATTGTGGGCCGTTACAAGATCGTGTCACCCTTTAGAGAGGACGATTTGTACCGCGGCACGGCGAGTCCTCAGGTTAAGGGCGATGAATATTTACGTGTATAACAAACTCCATAGAGCCGAACCCTTCTTGAGAAGCCGCCAGTTTTGTAGCTACTCAAGAACTTCCCAGCATTTTATGGAACCCGAAGGTTCATTGCCGTGTTCACAAGAGCCCTTCACTGGTCCCTATCCTGAGCCAGATTAATCCAGTCTAGTACCATACTCTAAGATCAGTTTTAATATTGTCACGTGTGTATGGCTGCATGACTAATAATAACGGGGTTTGGATTGGATGATTGGATTTATTATCACATTCTATTACAATCTCTCGGAATCACAGTCACTTATAATAAATCACAATAAATGGCTGCTTCTGACTCTTTATTCTCTCTGGACTACGGCCGGCTCCATTTTGGTCTCTTTTTCTTCTGACCTGATCTACGACTGACTTCATTCTCAAAGCCAAAGTCACATTGCGACTGAAGATCAGTCAGTCAGTAAGTCTTGATGTCGAGCCCCGTCTGGGGCTCATGACCATATATTTATTAATTTGACAGTTACGGACTTGTTTTTGTGGGACGCACTCTCTGACGAGAGGACGGGTCTGCCTATTGTACATGCTACTGGTCCTTGTCATCGCAGTCTTTCTCGGGCCCGTGTCCCTAGGGACGCGCGACCATATTTTACTGTTTCAGATTTGATACTCCCTCTTCGTCACCTCCTACGATTCACAGGGTGACGGTGGAGGTATTCGACCCCGCCTCCACACGTGTTTGACTTCCTTCTGGTCTGAACGGCCTCTGATATAGCGTATAGTTGGGTCGAGGAACAGGACAACGTTCCACTGATGAGGAAGAGGTTGAACCGAAGGTTCGAAAATGGCTGAGACAACAGTGAAAATACTTCGACGCACTGGTGAAGCGATGGGACAAGTGTATCGGTGTTGGTGGAGGATATGTCGAGGAATAGAAGTTTTCTTTCCGGTTTCGAATATCACATGTTTTACGTTTTATATCCATGTGTGACTTGTTTACTGACTCTTCCTTGTACTTATATACCATCTCACATTGTACGTACACGGTGTGTCAAGGATCTGTTAGGACTCATTTTTTTTTTTTAATTTTGCCTTGCATTGCCATCTGTTGGCGAGTTGTGGCGTTAAGATTCTTTAAGTTTCAGCTGTGGCTGTCTATAATTTCAAAGCGCAAGCATCGCTGCATTATGTATTCTGACCTTGAATGTAATACTACTGTTCTGACGCTCGTCGGAAAATGGCGGTTGAACAGAGAGCCAACATTGAATTTTGTTTGAAGTTAGGCGAAACACCCGGAGAAGCGTACGAAATGATGAAAAGTGTGTACGGTAGTGATTGTTTAAGTTGCTCGAACATTTTTCGATGGTATGCTGTATTTCGTGACGGCAAGGAGGACACTGTAGACGCTCCACGTGCATCAAAGCCGAGAACAAGTCGTACCGAAGAAAATGTGAAACAGAGTGACCGAAATCCTTGCATCAGACAGATGTGTTTCTGCAAGACTCATCGAGGAACTTTTGGGAATACCAAAAAGTACTGTGCATCAAATTTCGACCGAGGATTTGGGCAGACGGAAGGTCTGTGTGCGGTTTGTACCGCACGCGCTGTCAGGCGATGAAAAACATACCAGAGTGGAACACTGCAAGGACATGTTACGGTCGTACTGTGCATCAAATTTCGACCGAGGATTTGGGCAGACGGAAGGTCTGTGTGCGGTTTGTACCGCACGCGCTGTCAGGCGGTGAAAAACATACCAGAGTGGAACACTGCAAGGACATATTACGGTCGGTCCAAAGTGATAAAAATTTACAAAATCGATTGTTACTGGTGACGAGACATGGTGTTTTCAATATGAGGCTCTCACAAAGCGGCAGAGTGCAGCGTGGTTGAGCCCAAAGAAAGTGCGCATGCAAAAGAGTCGAGTAAAGACGCTGCTAACTGTTTTCTTCGATTCCAAAGGAATCATTCACAAGGAATTTCTGCTAGAAGGTCAGACAGTGAATTTTTATTATTGTCTTGGAGTTCCCAATCGTTTACGGGCGAGAATTCTTCGAATTCGACCCGAATATCGAGAGTAAGGTTCCTGGTCGCTCCTCCACAACAATGCCTCACCCCACAAATCGAAGATCGTGCGCGATTTTTTGGCCACAAAAGGGATCAGAGCCCGTGATCATTCTCCGTATTCGCCAGATTTGGCTCCAGCAGATTTCTGGTCGTTCCCAAAAGTTAAGTTGGCGATGAAAGGAGACCGTCACGACACCATCCAGGACATCCAAAGGGAATGTACCGCAGTTTTAAATGCGATTCCACAAAAGGAGTACAGTGACTGTTTTCGAAAACTTTTCAATCGATTCCAGCTATGTATAGATTAAGATGGATACTATTTTGAATAAAAATAGTGAAATTTTGAAAATTTTTCACATCTTGTATTTTTAATGAACACAGTCCTAACAGAACCTGGACACACTGTGTAGTGTACATAGGTAGGTGAATTGTTACAGACCATGCTCGGAGTTCACATTAGCGCCACTAATGATATTTTAAATACCTCTTCATCGTTTCAACAAGACTTCAGGCTTACAAGTTTTTCGAGATTAAAGGTGAATATGTAAGTGATCACTTTTTGAAGATTGTGTGGTTGCGGCATATTGTGAAACCTGTATTTTGTATCACTACTCTTCCATCTTATAAACCCCAGTTTGGATTTCCTAATGGCTTTGCCAATATTGGGGCCCGCTCGCTCCTGCCTGAGGCCTCCTCTACGTCTTGTGTACATTATGGCCTACATCCGGCCTTGATTTTCCATCCATCCCAATCTTGATGACGATGAACATCTTGACATTGGCCAACCCCCACCCCTCATCAATCCCTTTGTCTTTACTCTTTCTTTCCTCTCGTTTCATTTCTGTCTTCCATTCGCTGACTTTGCTTTTCACAGTAATCAGTTTTGCCGTAGAACAGAGGAGTTCGAAATGACGTTTGTACCACAGCCAATATGTTTGAAAGTTGGAAATAAAGCTCGGATGATTTGATTGCCATTCCGTTATAGGTATGAAAGGGTTTGAAAGGAAGTGGTCGTGGCCTGCTCGAAGTATTATCCGATTTGCCATTAGGGGGACTAAAGTAAACATGGATAACCTGAGGTTAGCTGTTTCCGCGGTGTAGATTGGAACCAAGCACCTCAAATGCAAGTCTAGGAAATTACCGCTACACTAACCTGCTCAGTTATGATTTTATTTAATAATTTATATAATGTTCGTAAGTAATTCGTGAAATAAACATCAAACGTATTTTTAGTACAAGATTTCTGGGATCAAATACAGAAATTTAACTAACTAACTCCATGGAGCTGAGTCCTCCTTGAGAATCCGCCAGTCGCTCAGCTACTCAAGAATTGCCCAATATTTTATAGATCCTGAAGATTCATATTTGTGCTCAGTAGAGCTCTCCACTGGTCCCTATCCTGCGCCGCAGTATTCCAGTTCATACCACCCCATCCTGTTAGGAATCTGTGTTTATCATACTTTTAACGGGTATTTTTTTGTTGCAGGCAACATCAGGACCATGGCTGTTCTAGACCTTGAGTCCAAGCGTCACTATTGGCTGACGGTGTTCGCTCAAGACCATGGCGTAGTCCCCCTGCACTCAAGGCTTGAGGTTAGTGTAATTCTTATATCTCGTATATCGACACATTCATGTCATGCAGCATCCGTCCCTATCTCTGAATATCCTAGTCTTTCGTTTCACTTCGAGATGGGACACGTCTTGTGTGGTTCCGCATTCGTCACAAGGAACTCCATGTTGGCTCCACAGAGCCTGCGTGCATATTGCATAGGTTTATAGCTGTGCATATCTACTGGTATTGTTGCTGTTTTACTTTATGTTCGTCAAGAACATGACCGCCTCTGTGGTCTAGTGGTCAGAGTTCTTGGTTACAGATCCAGAGATCCCGGGTTCGATTCCGGGCTCTGCCAGATTTTCTGAGAAGTAGTGGGCCTGGAACGGGGTCACTCAAACTCGTGAGGATAATTGACATATTTCAGGGAACTAGCAGCTGCGGTCTAGAAAACCGAGATTAACGGCCGTGGGGATCCGTTACACTGACCACGCGACGCTCTCTATCCGCAAAATTTGACACTAACTTCCACGAAAAGCGGCGGTAGCTCAGTCGGTATAGTTCTGTTGCGGACTACAGGACACGGAGTTTAGTTTTTTTAGTAATAATCCTTTGTATGAGACTATCCGAAAACGGTAGCTTTCTCCAAAATATACATTTTTGGAAGCCGTGCCGATGTTCTTAGAAGGGCGTGAAGCGCCCATTTTGGTCGCGGTGATTAGGGAAAGTGGCCTTGGCGGTCTCACAATATCCCTCTCCTATTTTGAAGGTTCTTCGGAGTCGCATGGACAATGCTGTAAGTCTAATAGCGAAATAGAAAGTCTACCGCTCCTATAAGCCAGTTCCAACGATGAAGACCCACAGAGCCAGTTGAGGGTTTAGGAAGAAACCCTCGACGGTGGACATAACGGTTGGAGTTCGAGTCCCTGTTGTGCCAGACAATTTTCTTTTCCCCACATCCCTCAGACCGGTTCCAGTGTCCACTCAGCCCATATCCAATGGGTACCGAGGGTAAAGCGGCTGGGGCATGAAGCTGACCATTTAACTCCAACTAGTGCCGTGGTCACGAAAACGTGTATGTATAAATCCACTCCCCCATACGCCCTAATGGCGTAGTGCTTAATTAGTTAAGCACAGGGACAACTTTACCTCTCGTTGTTGGATGAAGCGGGCCAAGCCTCTGTGGAGGGTCCACAATAGCCGATATTGCTGATACTGCAACACGAAGTACATTATGCGCCAAAATATTTAGTACTGAAACTCGCGCATCTCGAACGCGCATGTGCGTTTGTCGACGGGACATAGCTCCAGCCGCACGTGTTCCCAGTAGTGAAAAGGAAGTTATGTTTTGCAGTTGTTGGAAATGGGTCTCTCGACGGAGGAAAAAGTATTCATAGTTGAGTATTATTCCCGCTCATACGGAAGTGGTCGCCAGACAGCTCGCGCTTCCTTGATTTTGAGCGGCCAGATGTTATCGTCCAGAAACCGCTACACAATACACGTGTGACGCTATGGTGTGCCGTCTCAGCACACAGTATATTAAGCCCCTATTTCATTGAGGATGAGGAAGGCAATGCTCTTACCGTCACCCAAGAACGCTACAGGGACATGGTGATCGGACCATTTCTTCAGGATTTGAGAAGTTTCTATCGTGCAAGGGGCCTTCGCAAGAATAGACCGTGGTATCGACAGGACGTCTTTTCATTTCAGTACTGTAATTTTGGCGTAAACTGTATTATCGAAAATTGTTTGTGAAGTCCAATTTCTTCTGTCCATGACTTTAGACTTAGCTGTTGTCTTCAGAATGCGTAGTAGATGTGGCCCGGTCTGCTGA